GCTAAGACATTCAAAATTGTATCTTATATGTAGTGCAGATTAAGTTTATGTATAATTTTAATCGATTTGACATTGTTTTATTATGTTTATAAATTTAAATAGTGAAATATATTTAAATTTGATTTTTTTTTGCTAACTTTGCACCAACCAATATTTGGTATATAATTTTTCCAAACACATCAATAAGTTGTAGGTATTGATTTTATATTGTTACATGATACCTATCTATCTAATGTTGTTAGAAGACTCAATCATTACTTTATAGTTACTCAAAAATTAATTTAACTATTTAAAAATATAATAATTTGATTAGTAAATTCTAACTTTTTTACATTTTATCACATTGTTATTTAAGAAAAACTGTTTTATCCATTATTTTGCTTTTAAATGTTGAAGTATATACATATAGTCAAATTGTATAAGGATATTTTGCACCAACGTTTTATAAACATGAAAATTAAATGCATTTTTGATGTTGGTGCAATGTAACCCAATAGCATAGTTAACTTTGCACCAATTTTTAAAAAAAAAATTGTTTAATCAATTTTTAAGTTTGTCAAATTTTTGTTGCACAAAATCATTCTTTATGTCCATACCTAAAAGACTGTGAAACTTGTAAAATTTTATCATTATTATTAAAGTAACAGTGTATATCTTAGTCTAAAAAACCAAGATATTTGGTGCAAAGAAACCCTCAATTACGGTATATACTGATAAAATATGCAATATTGATAATATATTTTTAATTTTATTATTGAATATTTTTGTTGATATCACAACTTAATCGAGAATATTTTTAGATTCTGAGTGAAACGATGAATGTATTGATTTTACAATGATGTGTGTTTTTTTATTTTTTTTTTTATTTTTTTTTAATTTTTTTTATTTTTTTTTTATTTTTTTATTTTTTTTTGTGTCTGTCATCACGTTTTAGGACAGTAAAAGTGCTTGGATTTTCTTCATCAGTAGCTTTTCTGATAGGAAAGTGAATCTAGTTGGTACTTTGGGGGGTCAAAAGTATAAATTTCCCAGTAGTTTTCACAAGCGCCGGGAAAAACAACATAAAAATTAAGGAAAAACGGGAATTTTTACGCAAAATTGGTTTTCCAAAAAATCGATTTTGGTTTTTGGTGTAACTCTGAAACAAATGAACGTATATACATGAAATTTTCACTGGTTGTTTATATTTGCATTTTCTATACACGATAACATTTTCAAAATATTTTGATTTATTTTGAACTGTTTAGGGACATTTTCATTTTCCATTTTTTTTTAGTTTTTTTTCTAAAAATATCAATAAAATTTTATTTGTTGGTTGCGAAAGCTTGAAAATTTAATAGAAGGCTCCTAATATATTGCTTCAAAGGCAGATGAAAAATATTAAAAATCCTTAGTCACAATTTTTTTTTATAAGCATTTAAAGTTCAAAAATTGACAAAATATGGGAAAATCACGAAAATTAGCAAATTATTTTGAGTTAAGAATTCGTAAAAATGTTTCTTTTTAAATCTAAGATTTGAAAATTAAACACAAGATTCCTTATAAGTTTGTCTACCTTTATCAAAAGAAAAATGTTTATAAGAAAGTCAAATTAAATTTTTATGAGCGTTTGAAATTCAAATTTTTACAACATTGAATATTCACTCGATTTCCCATGTAGCGATTTCCTTATTTTGTTGTAATTCAAAAACAAATAACTGTAGATACATGAAAATTTCACTGAATGTTTAAATTAGCATTTTCTATACACCATACAATTTTGAAAATATTTTGACTCTTTTTGAGCTGTTTATGGACATTTACAGCTTTCAATTTTTTTTAGTTTTTTTTTCTATAAATATCAATAAAGTTTTATCTGTTGGGCCAAAAAGTGTAAAAATTTAATACAAGGCTCCTGATATATTGTTATAATATCAGTTGAAAAATATTAAAAATACATAGGCACAGTTTTTTTTTATAAGCATTTAAAGATCAAATTTTGGCAAAATTTATCAAAATCTCGAAAATTATCAATCATTGTAATTAATAAATTATAAAATGTTCAGTTTTTATAGCTAAGGATTGCAAATTCAACACAAAGGTTCTCGTAAATAGTTCATACTGTAACCAAAAAATCTAAAAAATATATGAACACAGTTATTTTTTACAGACATTTTAAATTCAAATTTGGACGAAATTACATATTAAAAACCTAGAATAACTATTTTAGTTATTTTGTTGTGATTGAATAATATTATTCGTGGATACTTGAAACTTCTAAAGTGTACTATTATAATATATCTATGATAGTATCACGGTTTTTGTTGATGTATAACGCGTTATAAGTACCTAATGGATATTTTGATATGATTAATTTGGAATTTATTATAGGTACCCATTATAGGTCAATTTTTTGTTTAATACCATAGATATGTATATAATATGTCTTATACATAGACTGACATACCGTCTGCGCTCAGAATCGTTTTTCTTATACAATGATATTATATCGTTGAATTCAAATTTAATATCATCCATTATACAGTGACCCACTTGTAACCTACTGTACAGCAGAGCGACACCCACTTGCCCACCTTTTTGTATACAATATGGCATTATTACCACGATCGCGGTCTTAGAAGATGACCGTGACCACGATTATAGATAAACGATTATTTATAAATAAAACTATGCGGTATGATTACAACTGCCTACTGGTTTTGTTGCACTGCCTAAACCATCGTTTAGAACTGGCAGTTCATGACTCAATAAAATACATAGGTGCTTTAAACCACTTTAAATCTTTCATTGATTCTTTATACGTCTTATACAACGCTTCTTCTAAGAATCAAAATGAACTCAGAAATGTGTGTAATGAATTAGATATTTTATTTTTGAAACTGGGTAGAGTTCTTGATGTCTGTTGGGTGGTCAGTAGCTGGAGGGCCATTAATGCTGTATGGAAAACATTTCCAGCTTTGTGTAATCATTTTTGTAATGCTGTAAATGATTCAACTAAAGATTCTAAAACTAGAAACAAATATCTTGGCCTAAAAAAAAGATTGGCAAGTCCAGAATTTGTATCAGACCTGGGTTTGATGTGTGATTGTCTACAAGAACTATCTATGCTATCTAATCAATTACAAGAACGTACAACTACACTTATTCAAGGCCAAAAGCACATTAAAAGAACGATAAGGATTATAGAATCATTTAAAGTTACTCCGGGAGAACATATGTCTGAAGTTTCTAAACTTAAAGAAGTTATGGTATTTAAAAATATTCAACTTTCAACAAACACTAAATTAATTACTATTAATCCAAAACAGTTTAAAGTCCAAGAAGAAAAAATAAGTTTGTGGAAAATATTATAGTAACTACTAACTAGTAATAAATTATTTAAAGTTGTATTTGTTATAAATTTTTTATTAATAAATTAAGTTACCAATCAGCTGTTAATACAGGGTGGGGCAATGAAACGGCCGATTTTGAAAATTGATTTTCTGAGTAGTAATTAAGAAAAGAATTCTCAATAATATTATTAATAGTTCTAAGACAACATGCCATTTAGTAAACATGGAACAGTGGAGTGGTAAACAACGTGCTTATGCTATAAAATTGTTTTACAAAAATAATGACAGTTACGTAACCGCACAGTGTGCATTTCGTCTTCATTTTAATCTTAAACGCCATGATTCGGTACCATCGGCTAAGACTATTCTAATATGGATAACCAACTTTGAAGAAACGGGTTCAGCATTAAAAAAGAAGCCTGTACGACAAAAAACCATTCGCACACCTGAAAATGTCACTGCTGTCAGAGCCGTGTAGTGGAAAAAATACGAAATAGGCTAGAAGAGTGTTTGAGAAGAGATAGTCATCATTTTGAAGACATCATTTTTAAAAAATAAATGGCAAGTTATGTGCTTCATTATAATAAATAATAATTTATTTTTATTCGTTTTTTTATTTTATAATTTGTCATAGAAAATCGGCCGTTATAGTGCCCCACCCTGTATTTGTCTAGAATTTGCTACTTTTTAGATATATGATTCATTTGTGGAAGACATCACCATTTTAAAATCAAAAATGTTATTAATAAATAAAATACAATTTTATCTATTGAGTGAGTTTCTGAATAATAGTTAAAAGTATATTAACAATTAACATACAAACTGAAATACTGTGTATAAAAATAGAAAAAGCGAAGATTATAGTACAAATTGTTTAATGTAGCTTGTAATGTATTATGTAAGTAATATTTCGAGCGTAGCGATAAAATTTTTTTTTTTGCAATAAAATATAGCTTAATGTGCGTATACCCAAAAATTTGTTCACCAATACACCACTGCCTGTAAGTTGTAACCACAGATTATTTAAACTTGATGGTTCGGGGTTCCTATATAATATATGATCTAAGGTTCACTCCCTATGTGGCCCATTTATTCTCAAAAATTTAAGCAACTCAAAACTTACCTCAAAATTTAAATACGTGTGTGGTGTGTGAAGTTTCCAGTTAGCGCGAGTTAGGGGACTATTTTTCGGACGATTATATAGTGATAAAAAATCTTGTACGATATGTTGCTGTTCATTTAATTTCAGGGGTGCCGTTTTATAATATAATCTGTTTAACCAGTTTAACTATGGTTCTACTTTTATCAAAATCAACATACCTTGGTTCATACCATAGACCTTATACCAGTACTATCATACTATAAAAAAAAATAGTTACCATAGAATAATTTTTTTAGTGTTATCTACTTTCTAAAAAGTAAAGAGATATTATCCCTGATCTATATTCTATTTTCAATCTTCATTCTTTATCCTTCTTGACTCCACTGAGTTCATGATTTTTTCACGGAATACGTATTACACTATTCACTAATCATTATACACTAAACATTGTCTCAACTTCTGGTCAGTGCGGTATAAATTTGTGTCATATACTTTTCTCCATTTTCGGAGTTGATTGTTCATTTATTCATTAAATATTGCAAAGTTCAAAATAATTTTTTGTAACAATGTCGATAAGGATCATAACCAGAGCGATTCAAAGATTAAGTACAGTTCAGACTGGTAACTATTTTTTTGTTAACTAAAATATATTATTTATAATGTTTAATTCACAAGATATTTGTTGTAAAATGTTTATTTTTTTTAGGTACGAGGATGCCCAGGTATTTCAAACTGATGACCCGAGCTGAATCCACTACAGGTAGATATGGTTTGCCAAATGTTTAGGTATAGGTATATACAGTTTTATGGCTATTTACCAATATGAAAACATATACAATATACACTATGTTGGTACTCCACAAATTGTTTTGGATTCTTATTAATACAGTGCAATAATCATTGGCGCCGAACACGTACTTAAGGTGGTGTATTTGCACACCCTACAATTGGTGGGTGGGTACTGGCCACTGGATGTATGGGTCCATAATGTTTTGAAAAACTGACACTTAGTAGTCAGTAGGTATTGGTATATATATATATGTATATGTATTTTATTATATTGTCGTACGTAGGCACAATTAAAAAAAATAGTCTAAAATCTAAAATTATAATTTGTTTTATTTGATTATAAAGGTTGACTTTTTTATTAGGAATAAATGAAGTGGTAATGGTAAAATTGTTCTCTAAATTAGTTAAAGCATAAATGCAATAAGGGGAAAATATACATTTTGATTAATCACTTTTTACAGGACTTGAAACCGATTGAAAAAATTAGTTAGTAATTTTTGAAGAAAATTATGTTATTTTATAATACCCATTAAATAATATTGTAATTTGGTATTCATATTTATAAAGTCCAAAACAAAATTAATATTATAATTAACTATTGTTTTTTTTTTTTTTTTGTAGTGGTACCAAAACAAAAATTTGAGTCAGTAACAGAACAATATCTTGGATTTGGAAATTTTGTTGCTGAATGTTTACCCAAGTATATTCAAAAAATTCAAATAAGTTCTAAAAATGAATTAGAATTACTGATAGCACCAGAAGGTGTCTTACCAGTATTTCATTTTTTAAAAAATCAAACAAATTGCCAGTTTGCTAACTTATCAGATTTATGTGCTGTAGACGTTCCTCAACGTTCAAATAGATTTGAGGTAAAGACTTATACATTTTCCTAGTTACCTTTATAATCTAGTTTAAAAAGAAATAGGTACTAAATGTTTATTTTTGATATCCATTATAACAATGGAGTGGTTTTATGCACATTTGTTAGTTTTTTATTGTTAAAAATAAATTCAACCTGCTATGTTACTAATCTATAATAGTAAAATAAATTACTTTAATAACAATTACATCATAAAATATACTTAGTAATATTATAGGCTAATAGATAGACTGTCTTCACTCAAAATTGATTTTTTAATACATTTTAACAAAGTCTATATCATTGAATTCAAATTGAAGACATCCGTTACATCGATCCTTCTAGACACCTACTGTACAGCAAAGTGACTTCTCCGATTTTTTGTTATATATTTGTCACTTAGTTTTAATTTACAATACATATGAATCTGGATATTAGTTATGAGTGTTATTATTATTATTATAAATTAAAATAATAAAATTATCTGAAAAAAAAAAATGTTAATTATAATAAATTAAAATATCAATTTTTTTATGCACATTAGATTGTTTACAATTTGTTGTCACTTCGATTCAATACTCGCATACGTGTTAAGACTTACACTGATGAGTTAACACCAATTGATTCCATTACATCTATTTATGAAGCAGCAAATTGGTACGAAAGAGAGATTTGGGACATGTTTGGAGTGTTTTTCACTAATCATCCAGATTTAAGAAGAATTCTTACCGATTATGGATTTGAAGGTCATCCATTCCGTAAAGATTTTCCATTGTCTGGATATGTAGAAGTAATTCATTAGTTTATAGATAAAAAAGGAAATTAGTAACTTTAAAAAAAAAATAATTTTTTAGGTAAGGTATGATGATGAAAAAAAGAGAGTTGTGGTAGAGCCATTAGAAATGTCTCAAGAATTCAGACGTTTTGAGCTATCTACTCCGTGGGAACAATTTCCGAATTTTAGAAGTGCTAGTCCCACCACTGAAGAAGTGGTATCAGCAGACAAAGAAAAAAAATAAGTTAATTTTTCCTAGGTAATTATAAATAACTTGTATACTTGCCTAGTTTAAATAATGAAATATAAGATTTTAATATTCATAATCAATGGTACATAGCTTACATGTATATTGTATATGAAATAAAAAAAAATAACCCATAGATTTACAATGTTTGGATATATCTTATATTATTTAATACTTAAACATTTTGTATAGACATCCCAACTTTCCAAATATTATATATGTAATAAATCTGAACAACTTAACAAATCTTTAACAATCTTTAACAATCTTAGAAACCTAAATTATAAGCATTTATTTACTTTGAATGGATGCAATGCTGTATATAATACAGAGATAGTTATTAAAAAATGGTTTAAGTTCAACTTCAGCCAGTGGTGTCGAGTTTATACTTATGTTGGCACATTTTAAGTTTAAACCATCCAAAATTTTTGGGTGGTGAGTGGGTGGGTAAAAATATGTAACCAGAATAATTATGGAGACACCAGCATGTCTTGTTTTTGTCTTATAAACGTACAACATGTCAACATAAAAAATTTGTGCTCATCAATTCCATTTTTTTGTATTAACCTTTAATAATAAAGTGAATTCAATTGACTTAATACAAAACTCAAAGTTAAAAATCTGTGTATTCACATAGGTGTTTTACAATAATTTAAATTTTTTAGCAAGCTATAAATTATTATAATTTACAAATTTTAATATTGTTATCTGATTATAGATGAAACTACTAGTACTAAATCTATATTGTCAAAACATCTAACCTAATTTTTAATCAGCTTATTTTTTAAAAATAGTAACAATTTATGTTGATTAACATAACTTAATATCTAATCTAATATTTCTATCATAATTCTTAATTGTTTTAATGAGATATTTTATGGAATACTATGTTGTACCTATGTACTAGTACTAAGAGTTTTGTTATTAGTAATTGCCATATTTTATTCTTCATAATTGTATACTTTATTATTTACATTACCTATTTACTCTCTTTTGAAAATTATATTTTATATACGTTTAGTATGGTATAGCACGGAGGCGGATAAATACATGGAAACATCAGGATTTCCCTCTATGATCCATAGAGCGAAAATGAGGTTTTATTATTGGTGGGCGAGGGGAGCTAACTACTTAAAATGTAATAAATAAAAACTTCTAGCTTTCCTCAATGTTCTGTTATATGAATATCATCATATATGTTGTTACAAAACTGTTTACTTTTAGATTCTGAGTGAAACGATGAATGTATTGATTTTACAATGTGTTTTTCTTTTTTTTTTTTGTAAACACGGGGCAGTAAAACTGCATCGATGTTCTTCAACAGTGTCTTGTTTGATGGGAAAATGAATTTAGTTGGTGCATTCAGGAGGTCAAATTTTGAATTTCCTAATAGTTTTCAAAAGAGGCAAAAAACAACATAATAATTAAGGAGCAACGAGAATTTTTACGCTAAGTCGGTTTTCCACAAAATCAATTTTGGTTTATGGTTTAACTCCAAAACAAATGAAATTTCACTGGTAGTTTATATTTGCATTTTCTATACACGATAAATTTTTCAAAACATTTTGATTTGTTTGGAACTGTTTAGGAACATTTCCAGTTTCCAATTTTCCAATTTTTTTTTTTTTCTATAAATATTAATAAAATTTTATTTGTTTGGTAAAAAAGGGTGAAAATTTAATGCAAGGCTCCTGATGTATTGTAACAATAGCAGTTGAAAAATATAAAAAAATACATAAGCACAATCTTTTTTTATAAGCATTTTAATGTTCGAATTTTGACAAAATTTATCATATTTAATAATTATTTTGTAGTTTAAAATTTATGAAATGTTCAACTTTTATAGCTAATGATTGAAAATTTAAAACAAGGGTCCACTTAAATAGGTAATATATAAATTACCTTATTCACAATAATATCATCAAATGAGGCGCTGAGCGCAAAAGTGGCCTGAACCACAAAAAATGAAAAATTGAAGTAACTGTACTAAGTTGTTCAAAATTGTGTAATTAATATTAAAGGAAAACCGGCCTATTATATCTTTTTTTTTCTCCTAGAGAGCAGCACTATTCTGTTGTTGCACCCCGTAATTTTTGTTTATATTATAATGCAATACTGGCCTATTTATTTCATAAGTCTGAATTTCAAATACCTATATATAATTATTGTTATTTAAAATTGTTTATAAAGTTGATTAAAAGAGTTTAGTTGACATGACATGGTTGATTCTTTTATACAAATTTGACCTAAACCACATTTTATAATTATGACGTGGTTATAAGAAAAATGCAAAAGTGACCTATCCAACATTAACTTGGGGAATTTTGACTTTTTTTTGGTTTCAAAAACGCTGATATTATCTACAGTGGATTTCAACAAGAACCTCCCCTCCCCCCCAAAAAAAAATTAAAATTGTTCTCAGTGATACAAAATTAGTAAAATCATTAAAGCTAATTTACTCAGAATGATGGTTGAGTCAAATAGACCACTTTTGTGCTCAGCGCCACAAATATACTTAGTAATATCATAGGTTTACTGACCGTTTTCGCTCAGAAACTTTTTTCTTGTACAATGATATTATATCATTGATTTCAAATTTAATACCATCCATTTTACAGTGACCCACTTGAAAACTACTATACGTGTAATAAAATAAGAAATAATATTTGTTCAAAAATTAATATATAAAAAAAGTTGTGTGGTGTGACTTTTTAATATTTCTCCCAATATTTTGAATGGTTAGTTGTGAGGGTGGGTTGGTCTTGATTAGAATTGAACCCTCTCTTTTTAATTGAACTCTGCGCCACTGACTTTACCAAGCAGGAATGTATGGGAATTTACTATTTATTTACAGTCTTAACTTTCTTTTATTTATGTTACTAGTCAATTTATTAGCTTAATAAATTGATAAATAAGGATGGGCAAAATTAAACAAATTTATATCCTTTCTAAACAAGAAAGGATATAAAAAAAACCACAATAATAGTTAAATTTTTACTTATGGATTATAATAAATATCATATAATATTGTCAGTTATTACATTTATATCAATAAAAATTCTATGCTAAATTGTAGCCATAATATCAGATCCAATGATGTAAAAAACTTATAAGGAACAAATTAATTAATTAACATTTAACATACTATGTTGAATCAATCTTAATTAAATCCCACATTAATTTTTTTTTAAAAGACATAAGCTATCATGAAAACATACTAATAACTATTAATTATTAGAATTTAGAACACAATGTGTGTGAATATATGTGCATATATAAATATGTAGGTCATGAGAAGTGTTGTTTATAATACTGATGTAGGGGAATGAATTGCATAACATAATAAGTAATAACAATTTATAAGCTTCGAATGTGTTTTGTACGTCTGACTAAAAGGCAACATGAATTTAAGTTGGCTCCTTCACATTTTAAAAGTTCAGAAATATCTACTGATTGTAAAGTAAAATCTGTTATTTTCTCCATTAGAACCTAGAATAATTAATTTATATATTTAGTATTATAATTTATAAATAATTGTATAAAAACTAATCAGTAATAATTAAATATATTACATTGAACGATAATGGTATTTCTTTAGCTGACCGATGTAATAATGTACCATTAATGTACATAACATTAGCAGCTTCATCTTCAGGTAATGTAAGAATTTGGTAGCTATATGTAGCTTCTCTTTCTAATCTCTAAATATTATGAAAAAAATATTAATTAATAACTTATTAGTTGAAATATTAAGTTAAATTACCTTCAAAACATTTTTTGTAGAATCACTTGACCCCACGCACATAAGATCTGGTCCCGCCATTGACACAATCGTTTTTAGATGCTTGTTTTCTGTCACCTGTGAAATCACTTTACTTGCATTAATAAATTAGCCTTTAAACTAAAATATATATTTATATATGTAATATGTAATATTATGAAATAATTGTGTTAATAATTGAATACTTTCTAACCTTGATTGGAGTACAAGGATATTCAGGAAAAGCAGATGCAACTGCACATGCTCCGGATTCATTAGTCCATTTTGTTATTCCAATAAAGAATTCTCGACCTACAAACAATGATACTTTTATAATTAAATGTGGGTGATAAATTTCAACAGTTTAAACTACACCCACACATTCACACATCCAGATAAAATAGTTTCATGGCATGGCATCATTAATAATGACAAATGAATAATAAGAAATAAACTAATTTTTGATAAAAATGCTTTAAAGATATTACTTTATTAGCTACAAAGTATAATATTATGTTTAATAAAAAATATACTTAACTAAATTGATATTTTTAAAATTATCTAAACAATCTCAGAATAGAATCTATTTTATTACCTAATTAACCATTTTATATATAAAAAATACTGATTAATGTCATATATTTTATACCTGTAAATAATATATCGCTTCCGTGTAATTTTGCAGATTTATCAGAAACCTCAACAATAGGCAATCCGATTTCTTTCTTCAACACCGCTCTTATTGCTTCAACCTGAAGCATTTCAAACACTTATTGTTTAAGGATAATGTGGATTTATTATATGTAGATACTTCATTCTAGAGTAATAAAAAATTATTGTTATGATCAATTTAGTTGTTAATAATTAATATTGATGTATCTGATTGTACATTCCTTGTTTAAAATATTTATCATGCCAACTGTAATAATATGATCCTGATGTGTCTTAGTAGAAATTACTTATTGTTGAAGTAATGAAGTCTCACCCGCACGTGTTATTTCCATCTTACAATTGTATTTAATAGTAAATTTATCGGCGGTTCCCATTTAGCTTCATGAGTTTATTACGGTGTATTAGGTAGAGTGAATTTACCTATTACCTATATTATTACTAAACTAGTAAAGGTAACAATATTTTCTGTGGCTTGTTAAATTTTTATTCAATATTTGAAATTACAATTTAAAAATGCTCATGTCTCGCTTCAATAAAGAAAAAAAACCTTTTAACAAACACAAGAAAATGTTGTTGCGTTTAAATTTAATATTAAAACTAACAACTAGGTATGCTGAACATAAATGTATTAAGTTAAAATTTGTAAGACGGAGACAACACATGAAAGGAATACGGTGCACTTAATGCTTTTCACGAATTAATAGACTTACTTCTTTCGCTCTCTCGGGCTCTGCTGGCTTTGTGATGATCGCAGTGCCGTTGCACACAAACGCCGTGTCGTCAACGAAAGCACACCACGGTGTATCTTCGTCTGCTGGCATTTCGATCACGTCAAGACCAATATCTCGCAGGGCTTGAACGTAGTTTTCGTGTTGGCGTTTCGCTCGATCGTAGTCCAATGTCGGTTGTCGGTCTGTTAGCGACCGTGGTAAACGATTTACCACAGCATGAGTGTAACGGGTAGTCGGCATTCTTATATTTTGTTCTCGTTAACGGACCCTTGAAATGGCTCGATTCTTGATGTAGATGTAATATGTATCTCCTGACGCAGCCAGGCGGGTACTCCGGTAAAACTAATAACTGTTGATAAAAATTCAAAATGATAATTTTCTGGCCACGAACCACCTTCTGCTATAGATACCACATATATATATATATAATATGTACTATTTACTAATTAGTATACTTTGGTAACCTTGGTCTATGATTATGGCGGCATGACGTAAGTACGTCTGTCTTGTATAGGCAATCCACCGTACACATTCTTATCAATGGGCAATTTTCGACTTCGAAAACTGCTGATTGCCGAGTGCCGACTAATTTTTTTTCTATGCCGACAATCGACATGACGACATGTAAACATGTTTATTATAATTTTTTATATCGTGCAATGATTGAATTCTCAAGATATTATATTTAATATTTATACTTTAGTCTAATGTGCAAAAAAAATTATATTAATGTTTAACTCAAATAAATATAAATTTTATGTTATTTTAAATTTCAGTTGATATTGTAAGAAATAATTAATAGTTAATAACTTTTGTTCGTGTCTGATTGTTCAACACTAAAATGTATATTTTTAATTACTGTCTCCGAAGTAGAATTAACTCTTCAATATTTTCTTCAGTGAAACGGTCTTATACCTTGCACTTAAGAACTTCAGTAATTCATAACAATCGCATGTTACTACCTGCCAATCGGTTTCCCGGATACTTAGTGCCAGATCGCTGTTTTATGAAAAAGATGGGCATTTACGAAGTGTACAATAAAAAAGCCGTTCAAGACAAGGTTTCACCATCAGAGTATGAACTAATTTACAACGGCACTGGCGAGATGTATGCACGCTGTTTGAGTGGAATTGTGATCGCTGCCATTATAGTCCTGCCTTCAACTTTTATTATTGCCTATTTATATATTTTGTTCACAGAAGGGAAAATTGATTTACAGACATATTTAGATATATTGCTTATACCAAACTCAACATTTGAACTAATGATAATGATTCCTGCATTGTTTCTTATGAAAATAGTGTCGTACAATTTTATTTCTAAATATGTATTGAGAATTTACAGACACAACACAAAAAGACAGTATGTGGGTGTGTACATAAATCCAATTTTACCGTGGAAAAATATAACATGCACATTTGAAAAAGCTATTAAATTGCCGGATAGTATAAATGTTATCATTCCTTGGCACAAAGAGTATTATCGACTAGCTGGACACAAGTCAATTATCCTAAGAGAAAGGTTCAAAAGGCCTGTAGATTATGACAGAATGCTTGGTTTAGTAAAGACGTTGGATGAATGATTAGTCAATACATTTTAGTTAATGACAATGTGTTAATGTTCAAGTTTCTGAAATAAATATATGATGAAAGAATTTTTTGTTTTTCTATTTTTAAGTGTCCATCTCATTCAAAATTGCATATACAACTAAAGCTCTTTCTTTAGTTTCTAACTAAACATTTGTGTTATTGTAAAAAGGTACCTAGTTACTTTATATCTCAGCTTCATTTGATGTATAGCTTCTAAAAATAAAAAAAAACCTTAATATATTTTTATCCTCTAAAAATCATTTTAAAATAAAAATATACTAGCATACAGTGTTCTACTTTACTCTAATCAGAAAAAAAAAATCAAATTATTTCTATAATGAAACAACTTTTTAATATATCTTTTAAATGCATAATAATAAATATATTTATAATAGATACCTCCAATCTATGATAGATAACTGACATCAACTATGATATTGACTAAGGGCCGATTTCACCAACACAGTTAATCACAGTTAAAGTTAACCGGAGTTTTAATCGGCCGAATTTGGCCGGTTAAATATCTGTTATCAGCCGATTAAGCGTTAACCGTGATTAACTGTGTTGGTGAAATCGGCCCTTAGACCAACTTTTCAGACCAACAGTATTCAAATTATTATGCGTGACATAGATCAAATAACACTTGTGTTAATTAATCTATGTGTATGCCATAGTCTAAGGGCCCTAAACGAAATAAAAATGTAACAGATAGAAACTAAGATTGTAATACCTTATTTCTGGTAAATACTAAATACCCCACATATTTTTACAATTAGAGATTGCAACTGCATACCACCTGTAGGCTATTACTGCCTATGATTTTTGCATATTTTTATTAAATACTTTAAAACTATCTGGTAAGATATTATCAAGTTAAATATGAGCATGAGTTGGTGGGCCAAATTGTGCATTCCCTATTTGGATCATTTTTAATAGGTATGTGTATAATACATAAATCTAAAACATCAAATATACTGAATTGATTAACATTATTAATTGTCAACTGCACCTATCTAGATAACTAATACATAAAAAATATTTAAAAAATCCAGAATTGTTCTATAATTGATTTATTTTCAAGTATTTATTAATACCACATAAAGTCAATTCTTAGATGAGTGAATTTTGATTAAAATAGAGTATAATTTAATTAATAGATTTGCTAAACTAATTACAAAACAGTCATAATTCATAATAATTTTCACTATTCTATAGTTATTAGTTACTAACTAAATGTAATATGAATATAGAATATAATATTGTTAAATCAATACTTCTTTAATGAAATCAATTTAACATAAAAAACTGAATTTGGTTTTAATTTATACAAATATTTTTACTCTATAATAGTATAATAGCATATTTTTATGATAATAATATGAGCATATTATAAATTATTTTAGTAATTAGGACATAATATAATTCTGTCTCATTACATACAAACAGCTATACTATTGTTTTTAACAATAAATTAATGATTTTGCTTTTAATCTTCCCATCTACATAACTGTATTATATACGAAAATTACCAATTATTGCTAAGATGTAAATCAAGCAACAAATTACATCTATAAAGAGTACATAACATAATATTCATAAATCTATTCCAAAGACAACCTGATACAGTTGCCACTGTTGATGAAAACAAAACATTACTGTGGTCATTCTTATAAATAATTGCCATTAGCTTTATAGTGATAAATAAAAACAATGTATAAAATAATCTCCTTATAAGACTCAAATATTCATTATTATTTAGTAACTGTTAAGTTATTTAATTTGGTCTATCAAAATAATGATTAAAATTATATATTTTTATTTAATTATTATTAAAACAAAACTATTTGAGATATAATTACAAATTACTATCAAAACAGATTTGTAATCTACAATAATAAATATAAGAACATGTTAACTATTTCATTTTAGTAAGGCCAGCATCTTGTGTTTTTTGATACTTCACTGCTTTATGTAAGGCCACCAAAAACTGATGAACACCATCACATTGTGGGTGACGTATGTATATAGAATGTGCTATAAAAGTAATTTTTTTTAGAACACGTCCACTCAAACCAACACATTCTCTAAAAAATTAAATAACAGAAAAATCAATATTTATTGTTTAATAATTTAATATTATATTTTAAACAAATTCATTTTTTTTTTACTTGGAAATTAGATGTAGTTTTTGAGTTGTATTGAGAACTTCTTTTAGTTCTGCATTAACATTAGGGAGACGATCAAATTTATCATGTTCTTCTGCATTTATAATCAGTTTCACCTGTTTATTAAGTTAAAAATGTTATGTATAATGTATAGTTAATGCATTAACAATCATTATTTACTTTAATAAGTTCTTCAATAGCTGCTTTAAGTATAGTGTAAATTGCCATTTCCTGAGGAGGGTTGATGAGCATTTTTATGTCAGCTCTATCAGTAAATGCAGTATCGATGGCTTCTGTCACATTTGATGTCGTTAAAAATATAACATTTGGATACCTTCAAAAGATACCCATAACATATAAATAAGTAACAACAATAACATATTTAACAATTATCAATGATTATGTTTACTTTCTTAAATTATCAAGTTGTGTGAGTACAGCATTTACAACTCGTATAGAATCTGATGGTTCAGTACCAGATAATACTGCATCTCGAGCACGCGTTAAACTCTCTACTTCGTCAATTAGTATGAATACCAATGAATCACCAAACTCCAAAACATTTTTTATTTGTTGGAACATAGACATTACCAATGATCCACTCTGTAATAACATTAATTCAAAAGGTATAAATGGCTGGTTGTTAATTATTTATAATTCCAATTCTTACTTCAGAGAAATATTTGGACAGTAAATTGTGACTATTTATTTCAATAAATTCAAAAAAATTGTACTGTTTCCCCAATCGTATTGATAATTTTTGGGCAAGGGCCTTACAAATCGATGTCTTACCAGTACCAGGTGGACCGTGTAACAGAATTAACCTATTGTAGCTAATAATATTAGGGTTAACATTATGACACGCAAAATTCATCCCTGTTTGCGCATACTGTAAAAGCTAAAGGTAACAAGTTTTAAAATAAATTAACTATTTATATAAACTAAATATTACATATTATAATTTTGTACAATTACAATTTCTTTAACCGGTTCCTGAAACACCAATGATTCCCAGATACCACAAAAATCCACATTGGGTAATATACAACGTCTCATTTTACATGCAGACTCATCGGTTGAGGTATCATCTACTAAACCACTATCTTCTAATTTGTAAAAATAGATTTTAATTAGGTATGAATCTAAATCTAATGATTCAACTCCTGCCTGTAAATTATTTTTAATTATAACCGGGTTAACCCTCTAAGGTTTAAACCTTAAAAAATATTTAATAAATTTCTTACCTCTATCGCCATTTGTTCTACATTTTCAACATTTTCAATATCATGTAGATTTTCTATTTCGCAAATTTGTATACATTTTACAAAATCGGATAATCCTTCAGTGACAAATGTAGTGTGCATAGACTCTGCAACAATTGGCTCAATATTTTTTAATTCAAGTCTGATGGCTTTTTCCAATTCAGGAATTTCAATAGCTCTACACAAAATTTTTTCATTACTAACAGATAATAATACACTTAACATTTGTTTTTAATAATAAAATCATATTAGTCTGTTGTGAAATTTAGTGTAAAACTGAATGCTTAATAATGGTATAGTTACCTACTCCAGTGGACAACTTATCGATATTTTAAATTTCAAATTTTATACTAAATGTTGGCGAATACTTAAAAGCAAATACATATTTAAATATAATGTAGGTACATACTTATCGGCTTGTAAAAGCACCTCCACGTGCAAAATATTCTTCATCGTTTGTTAGAAAAATCAATGAATTTAATCTTAGTCCGTGATCTTAATGTTGAAATGTTTGTAGTTATTCACTATATCAGACTTCAGTATATTTGATACTATTAATGTCTATTATTCACTTAAAGACTATAGAGACGAGGATAATATTCATTAATCAAAATCGTGATTAATAAATATTTTAATTAATTTATATAAATATATTATGTGATTACCTACCCAGTAGTTGATTTTTTTAATTTAGAAAATTTAAAAAATAAACGAATTATGTCAATTATTACAAAATATGATAAGATATGTAACGGAAAAATATCCAAGGAGAATAATATAAAAATTAATAATTATCACGGTTGTATGAACTATATAGATATCTACAACCGTGATAATAATATCTTAAAAGGCGGCATTGAGATTCAATGTTGGGTATCAATTTCTACAGAAATATTATATCTTTAATCGTGGTTTGATTGTCATTGTTTGAACTGATTTCTACTTCAGAATTTTTCTGGTAGGAACTAGAAAAGTGAATCTTAGTACTTTAAGTTGTCAAAAGTAAAAAGGTGGGTAAGTGATGGATGTCGCTCTACTGTACAGTAGGTTTCAAGTGGGTCACTGTATAATTTGAAATGTTAAATAATGTTAAAATTAAAAAAGATTGTACATTAGATATTTGAATTTCGTGTGCGTCACTAATAGGTGTATTGAATTTGAATTCAATGATATAATATCTTTGTTTACGAAAAACGATTCTGAGCAGTGATTTTATATTGGTTATATAAACTTATATTTATACTGTTAATACTTATTATTAATACGGTAGCCTGTCAAGTTGAATTAATATTATAAAATTACAACAAAATAACTAAAATCATTATTCTTGGTTAATTAATATGTAATTTCCTCCAAAATTTTCTCCTTGAACATAAAATAAATGGGTATAAAAAAAACTGTGATTTATATTTTTGAGAATTTTTGGTTACACCTACTTACGAGGATCCTTGTTGTAAGTTTTCAATCCTTATAAGTTATACAAGTTGAACATTTTAAAAATGTTTAACTACAAAAAAATTTTTAAATTTTAAATTTGATAAATGTTGTCAAAAATGCTTACAAAAA